AAACGATGAGGCAAGTAAGTGACTGAGCCAGAATCACTGCCCATGTTACTTTATACAGATTTGACTAATGCTTCAGACTTACATTTTATTGTGAGTCAATCATGTCAAGCACTCCACCCAGCAGAACCTACATACACATGTTGATTTGCATGGGCTATTTACCACCCAATTGCCTCCAGATGAAAGAAAAATAAAAATTTAACATGAAAATAACTTATGTTTGTGTATGCAGGTAAAGCCAGAGTGGAGAAAAAATGTTTATGTGGGGGAAAATCTTCTCAGGAAAAAGGCATCCATAGACTTTTTGCTTTGGAAGAATGGTTTTTTTGCCCTCCTCCATGCTTTTCTTCAACGCCTAGTGCACTAGCATCCTCAATGCATTTATTAATAAAGTCCCTGTATGTATGACACTCGGATAAGCAAAGTATTTAATGCTAAAAAAAAAAAAGTTAATATGTAAGTTTACCAGAATTCTGGAAATCCATGAAGTAGCAGCATAAGTGGTTTGCCTCTTTCTCCAGCAGCAACATAATGAAATCTTAATCCAGATTCCTGCAGTAGAAAACATGAAGTTTCAGTGATGATTTGTGTTGTTAAAGTAGTATAGTTAGTATTTCCATTTCATTAAAAAAAAACAACACTCACTTGCATTGTATTTAATATCAAGAAATAAAAATTTCATAGCCAGCCCTAACCGGTTTGGCTCAGTGGATAGAGCATCAGCCTGCGGACTGAAGGGTCCTAGGTTCAATTCCGGTCAAGGGCATGTACCTTGGTTGCAAGTTGGATCCCAGGCCCTGGTTGGGGTGTGTGCAGCAGGCAACCAATCGATGTGTCCCTCTCACATCGATGTCTTTCTCTCTTGCTCTGTGTCTGCCCCTCCCATTCACTCTCTCTAAAAATCAATGGGAAAATATTCTCGGGTCAGGATTAACAACACAAAACACCTTTAAAAAAAGAATAAAATAAGTATTATTAATTTTCAAAGAGAAAAAAACTTTATGATTTATCAGTAGGATGAATTGATAGATTTACTTTGTCAACATTCCCTTTAGAGTACCTTCCCTTCTTCTACTTACAAAGTCAATTTAAATATTATGAGCTTCTGAAACAATGTCACAATTTGTGACTTTCATTTTACTGCTGTGTCACATCTCATCTCATTCAAATTCTATAGGACCTGTAAATAATTCTGATTTGAATTTATATTCCTGCCATGTTTACCCCCTAGTCAAGTACTTTTCTCAGCTTGCCTGTCAAGAGCTATGCCATCAGTTATATAATTCACACCTTCTTTCCTTATTTTTAGTTCTCTCCTTCCCACATTTTTATTTTAAGATGAGAGTTGCATGCTGCTTGCTCCTCATGTCATATCTGTGTATTTGTAATAGCAGAACACTCTGAGTGCTCACGGCTTCACTCTGCATGTGGGAGACAAGACTGCCCAGGGAAATAAAAAGTGTGGGAATGAGACAGGAATACAGTGAATACAAAGCAAACTGAAGAGAGAAAAGTGGAGAAAAAAAGCAAGGAAGAGAAACAAAAACTCATAAAGAAGTGAGGAAAGAAAGCAAGAGCCAAAAGCTGGCCACAGACACTGGGTTTTATATCAGGTTACCCAAGTACGTGGGTTTTCAGATGTGAAACAATCTTAAAAGGCATCTAACCCAACCCCATCATTTTTGCAGATTTAGACACTGAGGTCCAAAGATGTTAACACATATCATGCCATTGGTTAGGAGGAAGGCTGTGACTGGAACCTACCAGGACCATGTTCTTCCACTCCTTGCTCTGTCTCTGGGGAAACTCTTTAGATGGCCAGTGAGAAGAAAGACATCCCGAGGCATTTCAGATGAGTTTTACACTACTTTTTCTCCTCATGTGGAATGAAGAGAGTAAATCTGACTTTGCCTTCAACTGCAGAATGCCTTCCTAGGTCAGTAACTTCTTTTATTGGTGGTGAGTCTTGGGAGATACCATAATACTGTGGGCACTTGATTGAATTCAGTGAACAAATTACTTTACTGTACTTACCTTTTGCCAGACACTGGTCTTTTTTTTTTAATCTTCACCTGAGGATATTTTCCCATTGATTTTTAGAGAGGGAAAGACAGAAACATCGATGTGAGAGAGACATCAATTGGTTGCCTCTTGCATGGGCCCTGGTCCTGTACCAGGGCCTGGGCAGGGAAGGAGCCTGCAACCAAGGTACATGCCCTTGACCGGGGTCGAACCTGGGACCCTTTGGTCCACAACCGATGCTCTAGCCACTGAGCCAAACCAGCTAGGGCCAGACACTGGTCTTTTTGGTTGTTGTTGTTTCACAAATCTGAACTCTTTAATTATCATATCATGGGCTGAATAAAGGTAAGAAAGGCATATCCCTTGGTCTTCTGAACCCCAGCTGCTGGACAATCTAGCTCCTAATAGGAATCCTCCACTTGGTGATGTAAATGTCCCCTCATTTGAAGCTAGTTTTGAAAGGCCTGTGAGTCAAACTGTAGGGTGCATCACAAAGGACACCACCTGGAGCCTCAGGAAATGGAACATCAGCGGCTGTGAGGGGCCCTGGGACAAGCGCAGACATTGATGAGTCTGCATGCATGGTGAGCCCTTACTTTTTATTCCACTCCTTTGGTCTCTAAGTTCATTAGTTGGCTTCCTTCTCCACAAACATGCACCATTTATTTATGATTTCATGCTGCTTGGGTCATCTGTGAATGTTCCATTCTGCTGATCTGAATAAACTCCTGATTTCCAAGGACTTATTCTATTTACTCTTTTATTCTATCATTTGGGCAAGGACATGCTCCTCAGACATGAGGGCGCCACCTGGAACAATTTCCTACAGCCGATCTGAGCTCTAAAGGGCAAAAAGGTGACGGGAGACAGCTTCCCCTTCCCACTTAACCTAGTCTCTCTCTCTTCCTCCTCTCTCTTCCTCCTCTCTCTTCCGCCCCCCCCCCCCCCCCCAAAAAACAAAGAAAAGGGGAAAGAAAAACACACCGGCCGAACCCTCTGCGGGCACACCTCGCCCCTTTTTGCTCCCTTTGGGATCTTGGGCGTCCCCGGCGCGGGCCCTGGGAACCCCGAGGAAATAGGGGACGCTGGGCCGGGCGGCAGGGAAAGAGGAGCCCCGAAGCCTCTGCTCTCCCGCGGGGCAAGGTTTCCCTCCCGACCCCCGCCCGGCCCGGCGCCGGCCTTCACCTTGATCCGCACGTAGCAGTGGGTACCAGGGAGGGGTCGTTCAAGCACCGGGGCGGGTGCTCCCGCGCGCCCCGCCGGAAGGTCTGCGCGGGTCCCCTGGCCGATGCTCCACAAAAGTTTGAGCAGGTAGATGGAGGCGCAGAGCCCGCAGTAGCCGTAGACGAGGGACCAGAAGAGCAGGGACCGGATCGTGAACATCAGGCGGGGCAGGCAATCCCGCAGCCTCGCCATCGCGCGGCGGTCGGCGGGGCCCACGGTCCTAGGAGGCACCGGAGCGGCAGCGCGCACACCAGCCGCAGCGAGGCAGCGAGCGCCGCGGCGTCAGGCCCGCCCGCCCGCCGGTCCCGATCGCCGGCTCCGCGCGCACCTCCCCGCGCTCCTCCCCGAGGGCCCTGCAGCCGCGCCCGCCGACGTCCCGTGTCATAGCCTCGGGCTCTGCACTCCCGGTGCGCGCTCCGGCCCAGCGCTGAGAGGTCCGCCCGGGATTAGGCGCGGCTGCTTTGCTAAACTGTGGGGGAGCGGTGGGACTCCCAGTCCTCCCAGGCACCGCGGAGGGAAGAGCCTCTCTTATTTTGACCTGTGTTCACATTTTCTCGCTGCCACTTGGCTGTTGGAATTTCATTAGGCCTTTATCTGGATCGTAGAATTAGGATCCAGAGAGGGGCAGTAACTGGTTTTCATACTACTCAGCAAACGTTATGATTTGATTCATTCCTAACACTTTTCTGAAGGTGCTGCTATTCTCCGACTAGTTCAGTCGTTATCTACAGAGTCATGTCTGGAAACCCTAGTCCCGTGGTTCTCAACCGTCCTAATGCCGCGACCCTTTAATACAGTTCCTCATGTTGTGGTGACCCCCAACCACAAAATTATTTTCGTTGCTACTTCATAACTGTAATGTTGCTACTGTTATGAATCGTAATGTAAATATCTGATATGCAGGATGTATTTTCGTTGTTCGCGACCCACAGGTTGAGAACCGCTGATAGTCAGTTCTCTGTCCCTATAAGTTTTTCCTTTACAAGAATATTGTATAAATAGAACCATCTAGTATGTAACCTTTTGCTTTTGGCTTCTTACACTTAGCATAATGCGTCTGACATTCAACAGTGCTGTTACATGCATTGTTCCTTTTTTTATTGCTCAGTAGTGTTTCATTGAATGAATGTACCGTATTGTTTATCCATTCCCCAGTTAAGGGACAGTTGCATTTCTTCCAGTTTTGGTGGCTATGAGTAAAGCCACTATAAGCATTCATGTAAAGTGGTTTTGTGTGTGTGTACATACATTTTCATTTAATTTGGTTAAATACTTATTAGAGTGGGATTGCTGGGCTAGGTGGCAAGGGTGCATTCAACTTTATAAGAAACTGACAAACTGTACAATTTTGAGTTTACATGGGCAGTGTGTGAGAGTGATGGTTAGGTCAGATTCCTGCAAGCACGGGGTTTATAAAAAAAAATCTTTTAAATTTTAGCCATACCAAGAAGTGTATAGTGGTATCATTGAAATTTTAATTTGCATTTCCCTAATGATGAATGTTGAACATCTGTAGCACTTGTGTGCCACTCGAATACATTCTTCTTTGACTGCGTTTGTTACTGGTGGTAGGAAGTGCAGAGGGCAGAAGGTGTCCTAATTCAGCCTCACAGGCAGGCACTATGTCATTGGACATCAGGGCAGGACCTTCTCAATGATCCTTCCCCACCCCCCAGTACCGCTGACAGTCTGCACCCCAGATGCATTGCCTTCCCCCAGCAGCAGTGGCTCTTCATCAGTGCCTTAAAGGTGATAGGGTTTGCTGTTCTCCCACAAACTTGAGGTTTGTATTCTTTCGTTGTTGTTGTTAATCCTCATTCGAGGATCTTTTCCCATTGATTTTTAGGGAGAGTGCAAGAGAGGGGAAAGACAGAAACATCATGTGAGAGAAACACATGGATTGGTTGCCTCCTGCACCAGCCCGGGTGCATGGGGGAGGAGCCTGCAACCGAGGTAGTGCGGGGAGTCGACCTGGGACTGCTCTATCCACTGAGCCAAAGTGGCAAAGGCAAAGTTTGTATTCTTTAGGGAAGATAGGGGAGAAAGATTTGGGGGTTGGGGGATGGGCGGGGAGGGCTTTTTGCTTTTCTTATATCTGCTGCCATTGTCTTTCGGGGCCTGCATCTGAAGGATGGTTTCCTCAGAACCCTCATTCTGCACCCCAAATCTTCCTTGTGAAGTACTGATGCCTGGATGCAGTCTATGGAGAAGAGCCTGAAAGTGTTTACAGATTTCTCTTGTATTCCCAGGGGCTTTACATTCTCAGCTACTCAGTCTTTAGCAATTTGATACAACTTTTAGATGATTTTTTAAAAATATATTTTATTGATTTTTTTACAGAGAGGAAGGGAGAGGGATAGAGAGTTAGAAACATTGATGAGAGAGAAACAGGGATCAGCTACCTCCTGCACACTCCCTACTGGGGATGTGCCCGCAACCAAGGTACATGCCCTTGACCGGAATAGAACCTGGGACCTTTCAGTCCACAGGCCGACGCTCTATCCACTGAGCCAAACCAGTTGGGGCTTTTAGATGATTTTTGTTGTTACCAGATTATATAGAATTTGACAGTATCTGCTCAGGTAAGCCAGTACTTATGTCCTGCCTATACTTTGATGTTTTTGTCTTTTTTTAGTTTTCAGGTTATTTTGGTTACCCTGCAATCTCAGCCCTCAGATTGTTATTTTTAAAGGAAGGCCTACACTTGCATGAATTTCGTGCATCAGGCCTCTAGTTAATAAATAATACAAGAGATATAAAAGCCTAAGCAACCGTCTGACCGTCTGGTAGCTATGACATGCAATGACCACGAGGGGGCAGACGCTCAATGCAGAATCGAACCCGGGACCCTTCAGTCTGCAGGCTGACGCTCTATCCACTGAGTCAAACCAGCTAGGGCTAAAAAATGTTTTCATATATGTATTTGCCATATGTATATCCACAAGCATTGTGAAATTAAACATATTAGAAACGTGCGCTTTCTCTTTTCTTTCTTTTCCATTTAACCAGACTGAGCCACAGCAACGCGTGGCCGGGTATAGCTAGTTACAAATAATGTACTACAAACTTTGGAAAAGGATAGATGAAGGCATCAAGAGAGAGCTACTGTGTAAAGGCACTAGGATTAATGCGCTGTAGGTCCTTGTGATGTCTAAGGATGACTGGAGTCAAGGGAGTAAGCTAGAAAAAATAGGAGGTAGTGCAGTGATGGTGAACCTATGACATGCGTGTCAGAGGTGACACGCAAACTCATTTTTTTGGTTGATTTTTCTTTGTTAAATGGCATTTAAATATATAAAATAAATATCAAAAATATAAATTTTTGTTTTACTATGGTTGCAAGTATCAAAAAGTTTCTATATGTGACACAGCACCAGAGTTAAGTTAGGGTTTTTCAAAATGCTGACACGCCGAGGTCAAAAGGTTCGCCATCACTGAGGTAGTGAGGTAGGGTGCTTGAGACTAAGGAAGGGTTTTAATTATTGATGTTGACAAAGGAGTAGCTATGATTGATTAGATACTAAGATCATTAGCAGAAAGGTCAAGAATTTCAGAAGTGTTTAGAAAGTGACAATGAAACAGACTTAAACCTCTGGGGAACAAGGAGTGAATCAGGGATGGCAAATGACTATGGGTGGTATTATGGTCTTATGATCATGAAAAACATAAAACTGGGGTATTTAGGAAAGAGGGAGAATGGTCTGCAACTGGTACTCCAAATTTAAGAAAAACATCACTGAAAAAAACACACACAAAAAAAACAGGCAGTTAAATGAGAGTGTGCAGGAGAAAGAGAGCCAGGGTTCAGTTCAAGTGTGGCTCTCCAATTTAAAGGGCTTGCTCAACTATGTAAACTATTGGACCCCATCCCCAGATTTTCTGATTTAGTAAGTCTGAGAATTTGCATTTCTAAAACATTCCCACATGATGCTGAGACAGATGGCCTAAGGACCACATGTGCAGAACTAAAGAACAAAAAGAGGAAAGAAACAAAAGGTTGTTTATAGAGGGAATGCTGTTGATGAATGATCACCAATACCAGAAAACACAATGAAAAAGTCTTAGAAGTTGGAGAGGAGAGATGAGGACTTAAACGGGTCCTCCTGAAACCAGGTTTTAGTTGAAGGCTAACAAATTGCATGCAATATTTCATGAAGTTAACAAAAGTAAACTTCATGTAAGAAGAGAAGTCAAACAATCTCTCTATATAAAAACCTAATATGCTAAGTGTCTGACCGAGCGTTCGACCGATTGGTCACTATGATGTGCACTGACCACCAGGGGGCAGATGCTCTGATCAGTAGGTTAGCTTGTTGCTGGGGTCTGGCCAATCAGGACTGGGCGAGATGGGGCCAGACACACCCTGGACTCCTCCCATGGTCTCTCCTGCACTCCCTCCCTGGCCACTGGCCCCACTCGGCTCTGATTGGGACCAGGTGAGATGGCCCCAATCGCCAGCCAGGCGGAGGGACCCCACCTGTGCACGAATTTCATGCACCTGGCCTCTAGTAATGTTATAAACTGATATTTTTCTCTCCAAAACTGACTTCAACCACCTACCAAAAGTTTATTGAGCATCTGCAATATGCCAGGCTCCTTACAGATCAAGCAAAGGTTAAAGTTTAAGTTGGTTAAACTAATTCCTGATACTCATATCACAGCTCTCTAAGTGCTGCTCCAAGTGTTTATATAATAACCTCAAGAAAGCCATTATCACCCTGGCTTGGTAGCTCAGTTGGTTAGAGCGTCATCCCAATACACCAAGTTTGTGGGTTCAATCCCCAGTCAGGGCACATAGAATAATCAATGAATGGGTGCATAAAGAAATGGAACAACAAATCGATGTCTCTCTTTCAAATGAATAAATAAAAAAACACACCCATTATTCTTTAATATAAAAAGGTATGTTAAAGCTACACTTTCTTATTTTATCTATAGACAAAGATAATTGATCAGTTTCATTAATTAAAGACAGTTGAAAGATTGAGTGTGTGCATTTGACAGAAGTAAATTCTTATTTACTATTCTCGTTCTTTCTCTTCAAAATGGAAAATTTGTCCTGGCTAGGTAGCTCAGTTGGTTGGAGCACCATCCCTATACATCAAGGGTTGGAAGGAAAATTTCCCAAATCTTAAAAGTATCACATAATCATATTAAAAGACCATTAAATACTGAGTATAAAGGAAATGAAAGCAATACCTGTTATTCCATCATCTAGAGGTAACCACTATGTATTTCTCATGTATCTTTATAAAGCTACATATATATATATACATATATAGATAGATAGATATAGATATAGCTCATCTATATCTCTATGATCTTTTAGGAAAATAACATAATGCATACTGTTAGTAGACAATACTAATTTCTTGGTTAAAAATATGCTTAGTTGAATAGGTATGATATTATTTTAATATTAGCATTTTAGCTACTAGTTAATCGTTTTTTAAATGGATGACAGTTTAGAAGTGTTTCCAAAAAATATATTATAAAAAAATGAACTCAAGAAACTTTTGTTTCTATCCATAATATATACACATTTTTAATTTTTACTTTAGATGGTATCAGAATAGTGCCTGAACTGTATAACACTTTAAGAGTCCAAAATCTTAAAATACATGGAGCTGATACACATGATTTGTACATAAATAGCAACTTGAGAATGAAAGAAAAATATTTTACAGATATAAAGAACTTACTACAATTAAGATTTACACATCCACTGCTATCACATATACAAGTTAAGAAATGCCGTATAAGTTCCTATAGAGACTTATATACATAATTAATACTCACTGTTAGTTATTTTGCTTCAAGTTTAACATCTTTCAAACCATAGGTAATCTTTTCCTTATACTAATTTCAATATAAATTTTGAATATATAACCAGCAGAAAATCTTATGCAACCTGACACTCAAAGAAACCAACTATTTGCTAGAGGTTCTAAATATTTTTGAAGGCAGACAAATACTTGTTTTAAAAGTTAAAAACTCAACAAGAACTATGTTTTAGATACACTTTTTATATATTCTTCATTTTTAAATAAACAGGGACTCTTTTGGATTTTCATTGCTAAGACAAGGCCTATAATACAAAGCAAATAATTATTTAGAAAATGAATAACATCTGGGAATTTACTCAATTTTTAGGGATCCAATATTATAAAAGTTCCTGTAATGTCATTAAAAAATGAACATATACCTATCAAGAAATGTAGTGAAAATTGTTTAATCATTTTAGAGTAGTCAAAATACAACATTAATATTGGTGTTTTGATGTCTGAAAGCAATAATTTTGCCATATGCATCTTAATCTTCTATATCATTCATTTTAAGTTGATGGTTAATTCAAAAACTGAGTTTTAATCAAAGTTGTTTTCAAACATTGTCATAATGTCACGTTGAAGAGTCATATCAATGGTACCAGCCATCTATAAAAAAGAAGAGAAAATTTAAATGTTACTTAAAAACATGACTTTATTACATCTATATAAACATGATTATGCATCATTTGGAACAGAGCATACAATATGAATCCAACTTATTTAACATAATGATTTTGTATGTAATTTTTTATTTCTGTATATATACTGTATAAATTTTTAAAAAATATATTTTATTGATTTTTTACAGAGAGGAAGGGAGAGGGATAGAGAGTTAGAAACATCGATGGGAGAGAAACGCCTCTTGCACACCTCCTACTGGGGATGTGCCCGCAACCAAGGTACATGCCCTTGGCCGGAATCGAACCTGGGACCTTTCAGTCCGCAGGCTGATGCTCTATCCACTGAGCCAAACCGGTTAGGGCAATACTGTATAATTTTTATTAAAATATTGTTTATGTGATAAATAATTAAAACTTACAAGAACACTAAGCTTAATCTTTCTCTCGTTGACAGAATGGGTATTAATAAGAACATGAACTGAGATTACATTATTTCATGTATCTCTGTAACCAATATAGTGCTGGGCACAGGCATATCAAATTATTTTCTGAATGAACCAATATCTTACCTATGCAAGAGAACTACTGTATGCTACAGCTATGAATTTTCTTTGATTCTGCCACTTAATAACTATGTAACCTTATACCCCTGTGATTCAGGTTAGATATTCTCTGGCCTCTGAAATGATACCAACTGTGAAAGCTCAAAACAAGATTTTTTTAATCAGTAAACTGCAACAGCTGAGTGATAGGTAAAATCATCAATTTGCAACTAATTGGTTGACTTCCTAGATGGGGATCAATGTTTTCATTGGCTATCTGGGAAAAGATTTGGAATTATTACTTATCTACCAAAAGGATATTAAAGAGTTAGGTGTGACTCTTATGAACTACAAAAATTTATTTAAATATGCCTTAGAGACAAAAATGATAATTTCTTTTTAAAAAAAAATATTTCTTCTATTGATTTCAGAGAGGAAGGGAGAGGGAGAGAGAGATAGAAATATTAATGATGAGAGAGAATCATTGATCGGCTGCCTCCTGCATGCCCCCTACTGGGGATCGAGCCTACAATCCGGGCATGTGCCCTTGGCCAGAATCGAACCTGGGACCCTTCAGTCCGCAGGCCGATGCTCTATCCACTGAGCCAAACCAGCTAGGGCATGATAATTTCTTACATCTTAAACCAGACTACTTTCTTAATGCCAGCTCTTAGGATGCCAAATATCTGCCCAGATCCAGATGGTCCCTCAAAGTGCTATTTTAACCCTCCAATATGAGAGTTGGATACATTGTCCTAGTCAAAATATCATGTGATACTCCTATAACTATCCAAACAGACTGCAAAATTCCAAGAATATTGTAATGAAATTTGTTTTTATTTAAAGACACTTTATTTCAGATTCTCTTTCATCCTGACTAAAAAATCTTCACTTGTGGAATAATTGATATGGAACTAGTTATTTTCTACACCAGTTAACAGATACCATGATTTAAATATGAACACTCTAATCTATACATATAAAGGCTAAGTGACCAAATGACCGAATGACCAGTCGACTGGTCACTATGATGTGCACTGACCACCAGGAGATAGATGCTCAATGCAAAGGATCAGGCTCCCTCCTGTCTAGATCAGGCCTGCAGGGATGGGGCCAAAACCACTATCCGACATCCCCCAAGGGGTCCAGATTGCAAGAGGGCGTAGGCCAGGCTGAGGGACCCCACTGGTGTGCGAATCTGGTGCACGAAAACTCTCTGCAGCTGACACCATAATCTGGATATTTCTTTCTTATATACACTTCAACCATTCAAAATTAAGAAAAAAATCTTGGCCAAAGAAACTGGCATGCAACGAGCTCTGTTAGGGTTCAAGTCATTGCAGGTTTTTAGAATACGGATCTGTCAACTAGCAACATAAGAGTTCAGGTTGCCAAGAGTGACAGTTATCAAGCTGTTCGATGTGGCTTTATTAGTCAAGTTTTGGTGGGTTCCAGGTTTATTCCAGCTCCAGGAAAGTGTGTAGGATATTAGAAATTATATCAGGTTACCTAGTTGGATTGTTAAGTGGTAAGTAAGTTGCTGAGAAATCACTTAAGGGTGACTGAAATCAGGCCCTTGTGAGTATGAACAGGAAAATTCCTAGGTTGCTAAAGGAAGACTTCCAGTAAAGTACTAATGAAATTTTAATAAAGAGCTCCTAAAAACCATAAAAAACAGATAATATCAAACTTTGCTGTTTAAATTCATTAAAATTAAGTAAAATTTATTAGTCACATATCACTTGGAGTGCGGGTGAATTTCCCGCCAAAATATAAGATGGCTCTGTCTTTTGGTTTTGTTCCATCCACCAAAAGGGTGGATTACAAACAAATATTTGGTAATACGCAGTTACAATCGGCCCGAGTTTACACGTTTCCCGCACTCCACCGCAAATCTATATGAACCGAGTTTTAAGACGGCTCCCGCGGAGTACGCGCAATTCACGCGAGCCGACTTAACTCGTTTCCCGCACTCCAAGTGATATGTGGCAGGTCACTATTATATTTAATAGATAAATAACATTTCTATCATTTTAGAAAGTTCTTTAAGTCCACAGTACTTTAAAGTAGACCCATCATGTGTAACAACACTACTAAGTAAGTGATAAATCACTTTACCTATGTGCTAAATATTGTCTTACATGCTCAATACATATAAATTCATTTCATCTTCACAATAGGCATTCTTCTTCTTCTTTATAGACAAGGAGTTTGAGGCACAGAGAGGTTAAATAGCTAGCCCAGACCCAAAAGTCTAGCAAATGGCATAATCAGTATTTGAACCCACATATTGTAGTAGCTCCAGAACCTGATCGTAACACTGTCATTAAAAAACTACCTCAAATACATGTTTGAACATGTGAAGACACTGCTCTGTTAAATCTTTGCTTTGTTAGTTAGATTTAGTAAACTAAAATTCACTTACTGCTTCTCTCCTCCTCCGCTCTTGCTCTCTCTCCCTTGCTAAATTACGGTCTTTGAGAAGCCCAAGTCTACTGTTCTCTTGAGCTTCCAATGACTGCTGATGTTCTTTTTGCTTGTCTCCAAGGCATTTGTTTGGCATCTTATTTGAAAAGGATTCTGGAGTGGAGCCAGGGTGCCTGAAAGGAATAGTAGAACTCAAGTAGGTTTCAAATTCCTTAAAAGTTATTACAAAGTTATGCTATTAAATGACAAATATAAAGCAATGTTCTAGAAACCCCTCTTCATATATCATAACATTATTTTAAAGATTTATTTTTGAGCCCTAGCCAGTCTTGCTCAATGTTAGATTATCGGCCTGCAACTGATCTTCCATCCCCGGTCCCGGTTGGGGCACGTGTGGGAGGCAACCAATCTGTCTTTCTCACATTGATGTTTCTCTCTGTCTCTTTCCCTCCATTCCACTCTCTTAAAATCAATGGAAAAAATATCCTCAGGTGAGGATTAACAACAACAACAAAAAACAAATGAACAAAAGATGGGTTTTTTTTTTTGGTGTCTAACAAAGTGACGGGTTTTGAAAACTGTGACAAAGGTATACTACTATCTTCTTACACATAGACTGGAAACACTACTAAGACATTTCTGTTAAATTATGATATACTTATCATTTAGAAATATTAGTGTCTTTAGCAACTCAATGAATAACTTGATTATTTCTATACTTTTCAAAGCAAACTACTACTTATTAATAAAAAAATAAATTTACTCTCTTGCAATTATAATTTTCTCTATGTCTACTAAAAATAGGTAAATCATAGTCACATAACAGAACAGAAATTTAATATATTTTAAATATATATTCTAAATCTCTCAAGGCCTCCTTTAATCCAGTAAATTATAGACCTTTGATTTTCTTGAAATACTTTGGGTTCCTTTGTATTCTGTTCCAGATGTTTCCGTATTAGTTCCTGTGTTCGAGCTTTTACTTCCTTCTCTATTGCTGCTTTTCTAAACTGGTTGAAGAGCTCATCTGAGGATTTCCGTATACCTGAAGTTTTAACTGGTTTGCCTAAACTTTTCCAAGAGTCAGCATTCTTGATTTTTATATCCTAAAAAAAAATATCTGATTCAGTCTATGTCTACAGATACCATCCAAATTTTGGAAGGAAAACAATGCTTTTTGATATGGTAATAGATAAAGGCTTAATGTAATTTTATAAAAGGTTACTACAGTCAGAAAAGATATAAAAACAGATAAGCTAAATTCAATTATTCATCTAAGACCAAATTAAAATAACATGCATGACAAGGATTTCAATGTACTGTGTAAAACATGTACTAAGGGTATGACAATCCACAAAAAATATAGCAATAAATAAACCAGTCACTGTAATAATAATATTTATCATCCTATATGGAAAATAAAGCAAGTATACACGTGATTAATAAGAGACAAAGTCAGATGATACCATAAGGGTACATGGGACAGAAGGCAACCAATTGATGTTTCTCTCTCAAGTATGTCCTTGGGTGAGGATTTAAAAAACAACAAAAATCCAGGATACCTGGCAAATATTAGCATTATAGAATTTACAAATAAATACAATCATAAGAACTAAGGGTGGGGAAAGGTTGTTGCTCACAGGTAACTTTTTTTTTTAATAGGCAAAAATTAGGTTTAGAGATCCAAAATCTCATTCAAGTTAATTAGGACCATTACCATATTAAAATTTAAATCCCTTTAATATTGTGAGAAAAAATAACATTACTCTTACCTTCTGCACAGAAGCTTGACATTCAGACTCAACCACCATTGTGTCATCACCAGACTGATGCATCACAGTTAGGCCATTCAAGTGATTTTCAGAACCACCTAGATGCACACATTTTTAAAACAGTATAATCAAGACAGTTCATCTTACTTGTCCAGAATTTGTCCCCCCGCACCCCCTGGTTCAGAAACTATGAAAACAAAATGACTAATTTTTTGATGCTTCTCAACTTTCTTGGGACTCATTATACTGTAAAATAAACATTTTTCACTTGAAATTTACCACCTCTATTTCTGTCCCCTTCCCCCTCCCGTTTTTTTTTGGTCAGCATAAAATAAAGCTGACATTGTGGTTCACCCACCAAAATCTATTTTATCTGTCCCAAAACTACAGCAGTCCTCCAGTGTGTAGGTTGACCTCAGCTCCATTAGAACAAACCAATCATGGTAATCCTACCCACATGGATCATTTAAGAAAGAGCAGGCATATGACAATGTAGGGCTTCTAGGGAAAGATGCATTCTGGTGGCCAAGTTCAGAACAAAGAAAACTCAAAGAATGGAAGAAATAAGACACCAGACACCTATAGTAGCTAGTGAGAGGATGGGAATAGCAAAAGGTTGGTCTGACTCGAGATGAAGAGAACTATGCAATCCTGTTAATTTAAGCTTTCATATAAATATGCCATTTATTACGGATGAAGAAAAATGCAGAAAGAGCTTGCACCTTTGTTAAGCCATGCTTAAACAACTGACCTATATGTGAACTACTGCTTTTGTATGGTAACAAAAATCCTCATTGTTTACCCCAGTTTGAGCTGAGTTTTTTGTCATTTCTGACCAAGAGCATCTTGATTCATGAAACTTAATTGGGTCACTTCTGTTTCAATTCTCTTTAGTTATAGTCTACAGGTCCTAACAAGTGACAAAAGGACAGGGGGAACAAATGAAAACTGTATCACCTTTGTTCACCGACTCAAGTTCACAAATTTCTGGCCACTTGTATATGTAGGAATTTACATTTTAAGCTCTACTACCCATCAATCCCTTTGACTAATCCTCTTGGCTAAATCACACTAGTTGAAGTTGAGGCTTTGAAGAAGAGAGGAACATTAAGGGATAGGAAGTGAGCATAGGAGGGTGAAACAAAACACTATCAATAGATGTATGATGAACAAAATTAAAAGTGTATATTTCTTATACTAAAAGCCCAGTGCACGAAATTGGTG